AACGTTGTGGAACTTTAAGCTAGCTAGAGCAGTTTCCATAAAAATTGTTTAGATAGCTGACATGGCTTGTTGACAACTCTTTTGCTGTTTCTAAAAAAGTGAAAAAATATTTTCCTGCATTAAGCACACAAGGCATGTTATTCTCATAAGCTATCGAATGTGTGTGTTTTTTAAGCTGTTTTTTTTAAGCTTTTAAGCTGTAACTTCAGTTACTTCACTTTAGAACATATTGCCCAGAATGCGTCACTGATCATGAGCTGGTATATCATATCATATGTAGCAAATACATAAATGAGAATAGTGTGTCATGAATTTTTGTGCATGCTTCTGGATCATCTGTAATTACATCAAAGGCTCGGCTCAAGAGTGTCCTGCCGACCAGCTTATGCCCAACCCTTTCTGTCCGCAGAACGTCGCCTGCGACTCCCGCACGCCGTTTGCCCCGGCCGTCCGTACTGGTCTTCGCGCTGCGAGCCGCGCTGGAGTTCGCGGCGGCATCGTGGAGCTCCCATCGGGACGGCGTGTGATGCCCGCGTCGAGCTTATAAGCCGTGAGCTTCGATTGGCGGCTCACGCGGTCACCAGCTGTATGTACAGCCTCGGCCCCGACGACCCCGCTAATGGCCGAGACCGGCATACCCCCGGCATGGGTCCGCTGTCCGGCGCAGCGCTGGCCGCCCGCATGCTATGCTACTTTTGGCTGTATCGCTGCCCAGCGGGAGCGCGCTCCACGCTGCGGAAGAGGTACACGTTGCGACCCGACTGAGGACTGCAACCGGATGGTGACACGTCGGCCTCTGCGCCCTGGCCGGGGCAGGCGTGACCGACGTCACAGTGGAGGAACGCCCAAACAAGACCAGCCCACCGTCGGAGCAGCATGGAAATATCATGTTCTGCCTGGACGTCGGACCCGGCGGCCGCAGTGCACCTGCACAAGTGCGGAGAGGGGCGCTGGAGGCTACTCTGGAGCTTCTGCCATTCCGCGGCGCGACTGCTGGCAAAACGGCGGCGATTGAGGCGGTTGGGAACAGCTGCAGCAATGGTGATGGCGGTGATGGCGACATGGCGGTTTGGGACTTCATCTCAGCGCGGCCGCCGCCCAGGCGCCGCTGCGCCCGGCTGCTCAGCCACCTACCGGATGGCGGGGTGGCCCTTACGGCCCTCACGCCCGTTCGGTCTGCGGCCACGTTGTGGGGTGGCGGTCGCGGGGTTAGCGGCGTTGGACTTCGTCCTTTATCCAGACTGCACCGTACCATCTGAACGGATGGATCTGCCAAGAAAGATGACATCCAAGGCGGCTATGAGGCGATCACAAAGCTTCACCAAGAGCTTCTCCTTCATGGGGCCGGCCGGCCGTTAAGTCGCAACACCGGCTGCCGAGTGCCAACAGCTGCGTGCGCTGGCGCCGACGCGTTGTGGGCCGCGCTGCTGACGCCCAAGCTGCGATATCAACCATCTATGAATAAGTGGCAGCGGTGGCGGCTTGTCAGTTGTTAACGTGCCTTAACAGACGTTGCGAATAGCCCGCGTTGGAATCGCATGGTTGGGAACACAACGCAAGTAAAAATGGGCTTCCTTGATGAACCTACTTTTTAACCCGCGCACCGACGGGGGGGCGGATATCCGCCCCCCCCCCTGAGGTTTTTCGCGGATAGCGGGAAAACCGCGGCGCGTAGCGCCGCGAAATTTGGTATGACTATTCTCTCATCAATTTTACACATGGTGTGCAAGTTTGAACCTCCTAACTTTTAAGGTCAGGTCACCAGGTCACTTTGAATGACCCAACCTCAAGTCACTTTTTTGCAACTTTGTCACCGTGCCAGAGCTACAGTAGATGTCGGAGGCCTTTGAAAGTCGCAGGATGTTATTAGGTCATTAGTAGCTACAATTTGTATATCTCGGAATTTTGATGTCGGTGACCTAAGGTCAGGTCAATTTCGCGACCTCCCCATTATAAGTCAATGGGGGAAAAATCAACTCCCTGTTTTTACCACTAAAACGGGTCGGAATGGCCCCATATACCATACATGACTTCACATACGATCAACCTTCACTACCTTGAGGTCTGTTTTGCTGTTGGGCAGCTGTAAGGTCATGTGACGTCATCAAAGGTCACCAAAGGTTTTTTGCCAATAACTCCTTACAGGAACAAGATACAGCCGCGCGGATGGTCTCATTGTGTTCAGCTCGTCAAGACGCATCGAATGATATACATGATGACCTCGAGGTCACGTGACCTGAGGTCAACCTTTGACCTTAACCTTTCGAGGTCAACATATATATCATTCGATGCGGATTGACGAGAGGATCACGATGATGCCCTTAGTTTGTTCCTATCTTGACTACTTCGAAAGTTATTCGAGAAAAACCCTCTCCATATCTAGCGCCGCCATTTTGACTTTTTCGACCCCTGTGACGTCATCTTTGACCTGACCTGAAAATGACCTTTGTAAAAATTGTAGACCTTGTCCGTGCGTATCCGATGCCGTTTACCGCTTGTCGCTATCTTGCTTCGTTCTCGAGATCTCAGGGGGGGGGCGGTCATCCGCCCCCCCCCCCCGTCGGTACTAAGTTGGCGCAGACCCCCGTCGGTGCGCGGGTTAAGCATTGTAGCCTTTGTAATTTTGGATGTTTTGCTGTAGATATTATTTTCTACATATATACTATATAGGCACTCACGTGCTTTAAATCGCGCAATGCAATTGAACCATGGTAAAGACAATAATAAATGAACTGAGAGCTGACATGCCCCATGCTTTGTGTGTGTATGTGTGTGTGTGTGTGTTTTTTTTTTTGGCGAGTCGATAAAAGTGGTTTTGGACACTGGATGAGTTTTTAGGGGTGTGGTGAGGGGGGATGTAATTCCACAGACATTCTGTCAGATTCACTAATGCAGTAGGTCTGTGCGGTGTTTAGTTATCGGAGCATTCTTTGAAAGTCGTGAATAGGGCCACCGAGTACCTAAAGCCGTGATATTCCCCCACAAAAACTTCTTTTAAATAACCGGGGATAGGTACATGAGCAGAGTAAATGCTATTACGAACGCCTATCACAATGCTGAGCGAATAGGAAAATCCATAGATGGAGAATTGTGCCGCGTTACGGGTGCTCGGGCGCACCCAATCCACCGTTACCCCAGCGGTGACCTTGACCCGCATCGTCTGTCTCGGCTCCAAAGCCAAAACGGCGTGGAATTGGGAGCGTTCGAGCACTAATGGTCCAGCGCAATTCTCCACCTAAATCCATTCCTGATACACATTTGCTTGCTCATAGTCATGTAACCCCGGTAAATTCACCCAACTTTCATATTGGTCGCTCCATAGACAGATGGCCACAGAGATCAACTTAAAAGGCCATTGTTGCATTCATTTAGTGGAGATCATTAAAGAGCCGTGACAGGCCACAAGTCGCGTGACATCATACGTGTAACGACCAATGACGACGGCCTGCAAAACCCAATGGAAGCGGCTAGCAGCGTGCAATAAAACAGGGCGCTGCTTTCTAAATGTCTGTCGTGCGCCATAAATGAATATATTCTTTGTAGCCTGGCAGCTCAGTATCTTTTTTAACTATTGTACTAGTATTTAATAATTTCATAATTTTATAATTGTGCTTACGCTTTATGTTGATATTAGTGATAAATCCTTAGATAAAGTAAATCGATGTGATATTTAATAGAAAAATAGCAAACTAACGCACCATTCATTCGAAAGCTGGGGAACCTACTAAAAAGAACTACTAAAATTCCTGAGGAACTTAAGGATCAAATGGGGATTAAATAGATGCCTGCTATTCCGTCGTGAAAACGGCCAAAATGAAGATATTTGTTGTAAAAGAAATTAGGTGCAGATTTGGTCAAATTAGGTGCACTCGCCGGATAGCCCGTCGTGAAAACGGCATTTATGACGTAGGCACTACTTAGGTAATACTTACTTACGAAAGTGAGAATGACTTCAAAAGATCACACAACATGGGGACTATAAATGGAGGGTTCACATCAATCCGATTTAGGTACCTCCAAGATTTTCTTGCACTTTGTCTAATCGCTTTATGAATGCTACAGACCTAGCTAACAAACTTGGTGTTGCAAGACAGGACAGCGCTATAAATTATTATCCTAGTCCCCTCAGCGATATCCGCGGGGACCGTCACATGTAACAGTCCCCGTCAATATCAATCTCCAGCAATGTTTAATGCAAGCAGAAACCAGGACACGTTCTTACAGCTGGAATGGAAACCTGCCGCATCGCACAATGTTTACATCAATGTGAAATGCTGCAATCACCTTGCTGTCAGGTGGGACCGCCATTCAGGCGTAATGAATGCATGATTGAATCGTTATATCGCTGTAGCGCCGACGACCGGCGTGTCGCGTCGATCGACATTAGGAATGCCGCAGCGGTCGCCTAACAGCTCAGCAGGACAATATTTTACGAGGAATTAAACAATCTTTCAACTATTTAACTGCAAATGTTTTATTTCTAGTATCAGATAAGTGTATTCTATATCAGAGGCGGATCCAGCTCAGAGTTTTTTTTTTGGGGGGGGGGGCAAACCAGAACAATTTATCGATTCTTCCCATGCATCGTCCATAGGCGTAATGTTAAAATTATGCCGTTGGGGGGGGGGGGCAAATGCCCATTTTGCCCCCCCCCCCCTGGATCCGCCACTGTTCTATATTAGGGTGTATGAAACATATTTGAATTACCACCACCACCACCAGGAGGAGCTAAAAGGGCGAAAATTAATTAGTCCATACTGGGCAAGGGCAATGGGTTGGCGCTAAAGTCACGAAACTTTCCATGTCAAGGTGTCCGACTCGATCTAATCATGCCGAATAATCGATCAGCGTTGCGGACCTTCAGTCTAACTAACTCAGGAAGCAGCTGGTGCGGTGGACCTGAACTTAGCGAACTTAGCGAACTTAGCGGGCAAATCGCCGGAGCGGCAGACCCGGGCTAAACTGACCAGAAGCAGGGGGAGCCCCGGCCGCGGACCTACCTGGAAAGCAGCCCGAGCGGCGGTGACAATCGCCGCAAAACTCCGTCTTGAGCCGCTTGCTGTAGTAGACGCACTTTCCTCGGGCGTAGCAGTTGCCGGGACCCTTCCTTACCTGTAAAGGCACGGGTATAGAAGCTTAGGAATCTGAAAAACTGTTTTCAGGACATATGTACGAGTATGACGCCTTTTTGGTTTAGGTAAAACATTAAGTTGGCAGGAACTGGAGTTCGGGAAGCGACTGCGCTGTAAGCTGTTCTTATGTTTTGCGCAAATGTAATGCTGTCAGCGCTATTTATGGACCAGACGGTTGTACATACGCTTGTTTAGTTTTGTTTTTAGATAGCACCGGCGATATAACCAGCCTCGGAAGCGTGTGCAAGTTTCTTACACTTATGTCAGCGTTAATGGACCAAACATGCAAGTCCCACGGCAAAGAAATCGATCCATATGCGACCCGTCGCTAAAATCCGGCATATTACATGCCACTCTAACCCAGCCCGACGTGCCAAGTAACATCCACACACGTCATATGAGCACTCAGCAAAGTGACCACAGCCAACATCTTGGGCCGCCCACCACTACTTCAAGGGCCCTCCGACATGGCTCGGTTGCCGGAACACGGGCTAATCAGCGTGTGAGTGGTAGTGACACTCGGCGGCCGGCTAATCAGACACCGCGACGCGGCTCCTGTTTCACGGCACGCCGACTGGACTGGAGCCGGGGTTAGGTTTCACGCGAGTGTTCCACTTCGGTCGGCCTCCGGCTGTGACTGGCGTGTCACAGAAAACCCCGCCGCACACCAACTCGGGCTCGATAAGCCAGCTCGACCCCCACCAAACACGATTTGGCAGCACTGTAAAGACGTCTGCTGGGCGTGAAGTTTTCCCTTCACCATAGGGTTTACACACAAACTGGTCAAAGTTTGAGCCAGGATATACTAGTCTAAAAATGCAAAAAACGAACAAATTTTGGCATCAATAGATTCAGCATTTCATCGTGTGCCTCAAACCGTCCATCATTTGGCCTCAAAGGAGGTAAAAATTGTTCAAAATCGAAGTTGAAAAGATGCTTTCTGAGCACATAATCTGGTAGCAATCACGTGACCTGCTATAAGCAGCTTATCGATAATTTACAAACATAATTATTAATATGCTGCTTTAAACAACATTAATTATTCATTTTGAGCTTTCGGTACTTTAAATAAGGTCAAAACATCGCAAAACACAAAAGTTAATACAATAGTCACGTGGGTGTCAGGAAATGTCACAGGTGCGTCAAATTTGTGACTGGGGCTTTACTTTCAAACATCGGATCTACCTACCTGTTTCTTATAGGTATCTTGAGCCAGCTATTCAAACAGATTCTCCGGGGACCGCGCCGACAGCGGAAATTTTAATAACAAATGGTGAATCGATTCATGGAATGAAGCTGTCAGAGTTTCATTTCCGTAAACACAAACACTTGACACAAGATCGCAACACAAAACAAGAGCGATTATAATCATGATATAATTGATTTTGCCGTTGTAACGAAATGCGAAATAAGTAAGCATACGTCGCTGCAAAAATGAACAGCGTCTTTTCCTCTGACAATCCATTATCTTCACCAAACAACAATGATTAGGCAAGATTGGCCACATATTCCTGTACGAATGATGCGGGTTATGTGTATGAGCTTTCCGTCGAGATCTTTCGTATAACGCATGCCATTGCAAGCCGTGGTAGCTCAATTTTGGCTTCGGAGATCATTACATGTCGAAATCCACAATAAACATCGTTTTTGAGGACGTCTTTTATCAATAACCGACTACGTTTTGCGTCTTGACATGCATGCTGAATAAAGCAAAAAATTTATGGCCCTCTGCGTCCATCATAGACCTAGCGCTTGATATGTATTCCTCTTCATCTTAGCCTCTGGCATGTTTATTGCATGCACCTCATCAACAGCGCGGCTACGCGTACGTTTACATAACTCCCAGCGGATCGAGATGTGAACCAGGAAATTGAAAGTGAAGTATTTGATACGTCATGCCAGAAATATATTTAAATTGAAACTATGGAAAATAACAAAGGGGAGTGAAACGTATATGTAAAGGCCGCACAATGCTTTTATAGACCATTGACTAAAATAATTGGCCGAAAGGCTCGCGAGAATGAAATGAATAACACTTGACACGTATTTTCGAAGGAGCTGACCGCTGCGCTTTTACATTATCGAATATCAGTCATATGCTTTCTATACCTAAGTCACGCGAGGCCTGCATTTCGTAGATATGTACGTGGATTGGGATAAGGTCATGGTGCGGCCTTCCCTGCCATCTCAAATGCCCTTCAAGACAGTTTATATCTATGTATGTGCAAGTTTCCAGCCGATATCGGAGGTGTCCCGAATCTGGTCTGAGCTCTGGCTGGATCTGAGCAGAATCTGACCAGAATCTGGGCTGATACTGGCCCGAATCTGGACTGATTCCGGTCTGAATCTGGACTGGTTTGACGGACACACGTCTTACCCTGGTCATGATGACCTCTGCCGGGTTGACCTCGTCCTGGTACTCCTCTCCATAATCCGGGTCCGCGCCGTAACGGTACGGCTCTGAAACGGAGCGATCGAGTTACTACCTACATCACTGCAGGAGTGGTCCAAGGCACAGCGAACACAGCACGGTAGCACATCCCTGCAAACGTTGTCCAAGGCATAGGCATAGGACAGCATATCCCTGCAAACGTGGTTCACGACAAAACAGAGGATCTCAGTACATCCCTGCCGGAGTGCTTGTGAGATCAAATAAATTGTCAAGTTTCCCGAATGCAGTTTTTGTAACAAGAATCTCGATTAGGAACATAAAAGCGGCGAAAGGCAACGCCCTAATGTCAGTACGAACTACGAATTACAGACGGTTCAGGGATTACACAAACTGAAAATAAAGTATATGAATAAAAGGATTCTAGTGCTCATAAAACACGAAGCATAGCCCTTCGACGAAATAACTGCATAGTAGCTGTTAAAATGTCGACAAAGTATGCTGCAACTGTTGAGTATCCATGACAGATTGGATAATGATGTAAATAATAAACCAATTAATACAAATCAAATATATTCAAAATACACATGTGTATTTTGTATACACTGTGTATTTTGAATATATTTGATTTGTATTAATTGGTTTATTATTTACATCATTATCCAGTATGCTGCAACTATGAGTTTTAATCAAACATGCATTATCAGCCATTAAGCGCATAAACTAACCGCCAGAACAACAAAACCAGCTGGTTAAGGACGAGCACTTAGCAAAGTACCACTCAGACCACGATGACAGGGCATTGGTTGGTCCAATAAAGCTCCCTGGAGGACAGTTGTCACATGGAGGGTACCATCCACCGGTCGACCACCTGTTTATCGCTGATAAATAGCCTTATTTGCGCTCCACGACCGACCGGTACCAATCAGCACCGCTCGACGACGATTATGGAACCTCCCCACGGCGCGGCGGCGGCACAGACAATGAGCCTTCCCCGCGCCACAACCGCCGCCGTATCGACAACCCAACGGCGCCACATTTGTCTCCCAGTGGTGACTGTGAAGAAGCAGAATTCCCGCCGGGTGCCGGGGTCAAGGCATCGCTGCTCATCGCTGCTGCTGTTCTCGGCTGGTGTGGTGCTGGGAAGTTGCAAAGGCATTCAATCTTTCGGTTCACGGAGCAGGGTCGGCGCCAAAGCTGTTCAGTTTACGGAGCTACGCTGTCACAGCGACACAGGGCTCCTCAGCTCTCTGATCTCTCTGGCTGCTCACTTCTCAGTTACCGGAACTCTTTCTGCTCACGGACCCGGTCCGCAAGTTCGCAGACCTCCTGACCCTTTAAGCTCATGGGTCCCGTTCCACTGCAGACTCACAATCTCCTTTGGATCGCTCAGTTCACACCTTGCCGAGCCGCACCGGGCCAATGGCGTAGGCCGGTGTCGTCGATCGATGTCGACTGCCGGTGCGCCGGACAAATGTCGGATACAACGGCCCGATGACATTATTTCTCTCACGCAACGCCGCTATAGCGCTTCGGTAAGGCTCACGGATAGCGCTATGTCGAGCAAGTACCCCGCAGAGACACTCGAGGATGTGGTGAGTGGTGACCGTGGGTTGAGGAAGTGACGGCGGTTGACCAAAAGTAGGTACAGACATTTTGAAAATATATTTTCATAGTTTGTCCTGAAAACTGGTATCATATTCCATCACCTTTTCATAATAACTAAGCCCTCTTACTTATTGGCCCTCAAACGACATATCAACGCATATTGTTTGATTCAATTGCTGTTTTCTTCAATGATATACAAAACTGAACGTCCTGAAAATATCTACCAGCACTGGCATCGGGAATTCACGATCACAACCATGGCGGTCACGATCGTCGACCACCACGATGATCGGAGTGAACGCAAAACCGACCTCCACTGTACCTCTGTGTAACACTAACAACCACATTGCTGGAATCCCGTCAACGTCCATTTCGTGTCATCTATCCACCCATCCCCCTTCTCCACCCGGGTCACGCTCTGTGCCCTCTCCTTCCTCCCTGGTGTCGAATCAGCGTGACCCCACGGGCTGACGGTGGCGCCGTCCGAAGTAATTGCATCAGAACGGGAGTCGCCGGTGGCAGCAGTGAACCCACCGGGGAGCGGACAAGTTACCGGCGACTGCCCGCTAACGGCCACCGATACCATTGGTGTAGAAAAAGGAGAAAGAAGTGGATAATGAAGAAAAGTGTGTGTGTGTGTGAGAGAGGGAGAGAGGGAGAGAGAGAGAGAGAGAGAGAGAGAGAGAGAGAGAGAGAGAGAGAGAGAGAGAGAGAGAGAGAGAGAGAGAGAGAGAGAGAGAGAGAGAGAGAGAGAGAGAGAGAGAGAGAGAGAGAGGGTTTTTAAAGCGGGTCGTTCCCTAGAAAGAAATTCCATTTCAATGATTCAACGTCGTAACGATACAAGATGATTGTTTTATCCGATGTAATAATTGTCAAACACATAAGAATACCATCACAATAAAAATAGCCTTCAACATATCCACAAAAGTGGATCACAGATTTAGTGCATTTCCGCAGGTGAGCATGTACTGACGATACCAACTTGGTTATGTAACATTGAAATATCGTTCTATTTCATCTGTCTTGTCAAAGAGTAACGTCCTCAAGAAAGAGAAAGGGTTATTTGCATTGAAAATAATAGGCAATAATACGCTTTGTTCTGTCGAAGCAACAAGCCCTTGTCAATCGTGTATTGCTGAACCAGAATTCCGATCAGTATACATACATATTTCGCCTTCCTCACCTCCATACCTATTTGGTATTTGCAAGTGAAACATAGCCACTGGGGATCCTGTGCAGGACGCACTTTCGGGCGCACTTTGCGCCGGCATGCTCCCTAAACGCCGGCTCACATGCCCAGTAGCGCCCTAAGCTGTCTGGCTCACCGTCATTGATCCCACTCTGACAGCACATTTGTCCCTAACGTCCCATAATGAATGCCGCAAATAATCGAAGCCACCGGCCACATCGGCCAGCTCTAAAGACGGGCAAATAACGACCGGCCGAAGAGCCGGAAATGTCGAGACACCGGGCAGCCTGTGTGCGAGGAAAGCGAATAGCGAGACATTTATCAGCTGCGGGCAAGGCTGCGGCAACTTTATTGGTATCGAATGTGGGTGCGTTAGTACGCACATTTGGGTGAAGGCCGTCATCCATTCAATGATGGAAAATGTTCTCTGCCCATAGCTTAGCCCCTACGACGGACTATTCCAAAAAAAAAGAAATATGCTTTATGCATTTTCCATTATTCAATAAAAATACGCCATTACATTTTAACAAACTCAACACGTCCAATGCACCAAAGCATACTGGAAGGGAAGATCATAGGTCAGAACAAAAGTAAAGAGCCAATGCAAATAACTTGTTTGTTGCCGATAAAATGTGTGATGCCTGGACGGCTTTGATCAGATCGACATGAAAATTCGGCACAAAGCCTTACGGTACTCCAGAACAACTGAACCTCGGCAGAAAGTACAGAATAAAAGTCAGCACGGCCCGGTGACCTCCTGAGAGCTCTCCACACAGTCCGACTGCTAACAAACTCAGTAACTGTCAAACGCGCAGACGGTGGATTTCCTAATTTGCCGATAGGAGATGCGTATAATACCGAGAACCAGTGTTACCGCGATTGTTTTTTTTTTTATTTTAATGCTCTAGTCGTCGAAATATCATATCTTAAATCTTCCTGCATGAGCACTTATTGCACTACCTTCGATAAAAGAATGGTTATATATTTTTTTTTTTAAACTAACGGACACTTTTTGTACCAACATAAAAGTTAGCTATACATACTCCACGTACCAGTCTGTGATAACAACAGCTCTTCTTCGAAGGACTGACATACACGAAACTAACCACCCAACCAAGAGCGGCTGTTGTACTCGATGGCCGCCCCAATGGCAATCATCACCCCTCCATCAGTGCCGCACTCCCCCCACCGCCCACGCGCCGCCGCCCCCGCCCGGGCGGGACGAGCTCGGGATTTGGTGAGCGATTGGCACGCGCTGCGGGCACGCTATACACGGGTTGGAGGCGAGGGGTGAGCCCCCCCCCCCAACGGAAGCCGCCCGGCGCGACTGTGCTATAGGCACGGAGCGCGGTAGCGGACTGTGGTATAGTCACGGAGCGCGGTAGCGCCGACTGGAGCAGGTTGGCGCCGATGGACGACCGATGGTGTCGGTTAGCAGTCAGATTACCAAACGGTTTCGTTGACAGTGCGAAACACGGAGAGCGAAGGCAAAGGCTTATTCGCTACACAGAGGTGTACACCCATACAGGTATACAAATTACAGAGTCTATGGTTAAAGCCGCTGTTTGGCTAAGTTTTCAGAGTCTTAGCAGAAGGGTGTTAAGTTTTCACGCCCATGAGAGAGGCTAAACCAAAGCGTAACATACCTAAACAGGCGACCTCATGCCTCGCGTTGGCAAATAATTAGGTACTTTAGAAGCATGCCATAATCCAGGTCAGATAGAGCTCACCGTTACTGCCATGCCCACGTTCCGTCCCAAAGAGAGGGTAGTTACCTACCAGGATACCACAGATTCCGTGCAGCGCAGTGCTTGTCGCCGGGTGGGACCAATCCGGTACCGAGCGTGTCACTGCATTCGGACGAGAGTGGCGGAACATCAAAGGGCACGCGATGAAGACGGGAGTGAGGGAGGACGGATGAAAGAGAGCGAGAGAGAAGGAGTAAGGAGGTGGAGGATGGAAAGAGGGAGGTAGATGGAAAAGAGTAGAGCAGAGAGGGAGGGAGAGAAGGAGAGGAGAGAGTGAGAGGAAGGGAGTGAGAGGAAGAGAGTGAGAGGGAGAGATAAAAATGAGGGATGAATTGAGGGTAGAGAGATGGAAACTGTGTGAGAGCGAAAGAAGAGAGGAAGGGAGAATGACAGAAAGCGGGTAATGGAGGCTTACGGGCTCGTCGTCAGCGGAGTTATTAGCGACAGAGTAAGTGGACAAAGAAAGAGACAGAGAAGACAAAGAGATAAGACGATGAATGACGGTAAACGCCTATGCTGCATCATGCTGTATTTTGGGATGAAAAACCTTATAATTTCAAATTTCGACTAAGAGGAATTTACCTTATCATTTAAAATTTCGACTAAGAGGAATTTACCAGAGTATTGGTCGGCAGTGGAACGTCTCATGAGAGCACTTGTATTACTATCGTTAATTGTTGCCGCCACTGTTATCAGCCGCTCGACAGGTTGTGTGTTGATTAATGAGCCTATTCGTTCTCGGCCACACATCCTTTACCATGTTGACACAGCATTGCTGCACTGTAATTTGTAAGTGCCTGGGAAGCCACCACCGAAAGGAAGGTCGTTACTTGATATTTGTAGTACATAAATGTCACAGTTGTAAATGCCAAAAAGTAATAATGAAATAGATCTTATCATGATTTTGACGTTCACGTCATGCACTCAACACGCATAGGTACACTTACCAGTCATCATTTGCACATCACCACAGTAGTCAAAATCTAATGTTTTACATGCCACTAAAATAACATTTTATTGACAATCATACACTTACTCCATGCAACCCAGCCCACGCGTTGACTGTGTGGCCATGCTCGACTGCCGTCTATCAAATGATGTCGTGCCATCGGCGAATTCCCGTCCGCCGGGCCGGCGCGTGGGGAAGGGGAATGGGGGATGCCCCTACCATTAGTGTGATCAGAAACCTCTCGATGTGCGAGCATGCGGAGCATGGTGAGCGCTGCCTGCACTGACAAATTTAACCATATTGTTCAAACTCAGAAACTCGGCGATAAAAACATTTCCTCAGCGATCCGCAGGCTCCCAGCGACAAACCAGGATATGAATATCGGATACATGAGCGATGCGTAGATAATTATGATAGAACTTGTGGCTAGTTACTGCGACTTGGGTCTTCATATAACTCACTGATGTTTTGGAAGCTAGCAGTAGCATACAAACAAACTCCATTTTTAAATGTGACGGATAAAATATCCAGGCAATAATTTGCCAAGTGTTGTTGAGCGCCGTAGTGTGTCAACTTGGTCATTCGTCAAATAAATATATTCCTAGCTAGAGGCAATAAAATTACAATGCAGTGACACCAAATTAGACCGTCCCTTAACCTAAATGAACGGCCGTCGTTTTCGAGCTGCCAGTAACTGTTCGGTGTTCCTTGTTCCCGCAGTGTAAGGGGAAGGATGCTATGTAAATTCCACAGAGGAGATCGGTGGGAGGGAAGGCAAAACGAGAGAGAGAGAGAGAGAGAGAGAGAGAGAGAGAGAGAGAGAGAGAGAGAGAGAGAGAGAGAGAGAGAGAGAGAGAGAGAGATGAGAGATGAGATAGATACATATGCTATGCACTTACAGAAGGAAAATCGGTCGCAGAGATCTTATGCATAGATCTTAGTCATCTCTATGAACTCGATGCGCGGAGTTCAGAGAGAGGTCAAAGGTGAGGTATACCGCTGCTGCAGCGCGTGTCACTGCCAGCGAACGGGGGTAATGACAGGCTATATACTAATTGGAGCATGAATGTAGCCTGGGCCTCCGAACCGCCACAAAGCTGGGCATTAAGCAATGATCGATGTCGTTACCACAACGATTACCAGCGTTCTGCCACTTCCGAGCACACAACAGTTGGATGTGAGCTTCAGGTTTGCAGTTAGCTTGGTAAATTATTTACTTGAGTGATGGATAGGACCAATAACACACGGAAGAAACAGGTAATAATAGGTTAAGAACGAATGCTGAATTCAGATTCTTGCGATTATCGGTCGTTAAAAACTGTACGCATCACTTATGCTAAGTTGGAATGGCAGATGTGTTTTTCAAGCAGTGCCAGCCGCTCATTTCTTCACATTGCATTAACAGCACGGTTGAGCATCACAAACAACTTAAGCTATAGAAAATAGAGATAGATTATCATTTGCGCGAGCAGAAGGCATATTTCGTTATCGATTATACAACAGCTACAAGTGCTTTGCATGCGTGACACATTCAACAACAGTCTCTTGAAAAAATGGCAGCATCTACATATATAATATTTCAACTGAACGCTACACCATTCGCTGAACATGTATGACTGACATCAGTGAACTAAGCTCATTGCTATTTTCGCCTGTCTTTACCGCACGAGTGTATAGTGCTTTGTATTTGCATTTACATTGCACAATTTCATAGTACAGTTGCAAGCAACCGACGGTTGCGACGCGTCACTCACCTGGCTCGCGCTGGAGCTCCTTCAGCAGCTCACTGAGCCTGACCTCGTTGGAGCTGACCGGTCCCGTCAGCAGACAGCTCAGCGCCAGCACCAGCGCTCCACACACCATGCTGACGTGGCCAATTTCCGCCTGCAGAACGACACACGGGCGGCTAATGTCTCGACCCGGCGATAGCGGCGGCCGGTAAATCGGGCGGCTAACGACTGTCGCCGGTGACGTACCACCGGGTGGAGCCGTGTTAGACAGACACGGCCGCGCTTAGACACGCGACAGGGACGGGTAGCAGACAGGGTGGGCATGGGGGTGAGTCACAGTGGTGGTCAGGCGATGTGCATCCTCGAAATATAATAGGATAGTTTGACCAGAGGCTGGGATAGGCTATAGCTTGTGAGTATCGCAGGTAAAGAAAACTGGACATATAAAATACTTAACATCAGTCGCAGCTTATCCTTGAATGAATATTTCAAATCATATCAATGTTGGGAACCTCAAAAGTTGGGCATGATAATCATCCGTGATGAGAACCCAACTTCAAAAATGTCATTATGTTTCGGAATTTGCAGGTGTTTGACGCGTTCAACCCTGACCCTCTTCAAGAAGAACATGCATTAAGCTCATATTTGATGAAGCAATAATCGCTGAGTGCAGAAAACTCATTCACGCAAATGTCATACCCACAGAAAGAACCCTGCATACCCGTATACACTATGGTGCGGCTATATGTCGTCCGCGCACAGACCATGTGGAAATCGTAATGACCCTAATATAATAGCTAATATACTCAGAAGGAAACCATTGCCTGTCATTCGCTAGCGTCAAGCCTGCAAGGAAATGACCCCTTTGGGTGGCGAGTTAATTTGTTTGAGAGCAGGTAAAGTATTGGGCCAAAGCATAAAAGCTGAGCTCCTTTTAAGAAAATGTGAAATAGTAGAAAAATAAACTTCATCTCATTGTTTTTGAATTTCATATTAAATGCTATTTACCTAAGTGTGTATCTGTAGGTATAGCCGGGAGCGCAGTATCATTCCTCATCGCCTTTCAAGAAATAATCATGCTTGCCTTCAAGTTACATTAGCACTATTTCTCGTACCTCGCACAATCAGAAAGGATATTGAACTACACTTCGAGTTTCGCTCAAATTTATTTGCTTTTCAACAAATAGTGTGGAGAAAGATCACGGCTGGCGTGACGAGACGTGCCTTGCAATAAAAATAAAACGACGATAAAGCTAAAGATAATTACAATAAAAAAGAGCGATGTACGTACTTACATATATAGGTTGATGCCTACGACTAATGTAGGTCGCAAGACATACAAGGTATTCAATGATGTAGACCGCACCATTTTCAAGTTGCGTGCACTGAATGACGATACCAAAGCGTTGGCCTCGTTATCATGTCTCTAACATATTAAAATCACTAAGCTATAAGCGATTTCACGAGGCAAACGTCGATACCGCGAGGATCTCCGTTCGCGGATGTTATGCGGCACAGTATCACTTCAGGCGCTAACCTCTGCTGCCATCTAGCGGCAGAGTTATAAGCTTGCCGCCGGAGACCGTCCGCCGGCTACCGTTCCATTTTGACAAATGAGATCATAGGCACACCTTGCCAAAAAAAGGTTCACATTTTCACGTTACAATAGCCGTATTTCGCAAATTCTTTTGTCGTCTTTTTGTACGGTAAAAATACCAATGGAAGCAGCTGAAATGAAGCGTTTGTGACGACAATAGAATAAGTGACGATGACATATTGCCGTTGAAAGAAGTTAAATGATAATCAATATTTGACAACATTATCATACGCCTCTTTCTGACTGAATAGTTTTTTAAATAGAACATACCCTTGAATAAGACAAAATGATGCATATGCATCATTTTGACTACCTTGACTACCTTGAAAAAAGACTACCTTGCTACGATTCAACTTCCGCCTTCCGCCGTGATCCTCGTACCGAGCTAGTCTCCAAAAATAACCCCTAGCCCTTCTGACAATAGCCGAAGAGAAAGGTCTCCTTCCCACCCACCTCTATACCTAACGACCCTCAGGCGGCTGGCGTTCCTTTCTCACCGTGCCGGGTCTGAAGAGAGGGTGCCGTGCCCGGCCCGTCCGCCCGCCGTCACCGCCGGTCACGTATTGACGGCCGGCCGGCCGGCCGCGCGGCCAGGGCCCTGTTTCACCGGTGATAGCAGCAAGCTACTATCAAATTGCGCGAGCTGACGTAATGTGATGACGTCATACTGCTGACGTAAGGGGCAATTCTGGCGCACGATTGCCGCAATATTGTTTTACGTCATCAGCTAAATGTTCGAAGTTAATGTCAAAATTTTTCCTAAACCCAACTTCTTTTAAATACATCATATTGAAAAATTATATATCAAAAATATATATACTATCATGACTGCGTAAACTCTTACTTTTAGGCTCATACGTCACTTAATGCCGCCGCCAAGGTCGCGGCAATCGTGCGCCGGAACTACCCATTACGACAACAGTATGGCGTCACGACATGACGTCAGCTCGCGAAACGTGATAGCAGCTTGCTGCTATCACCGGTGAAACAGGGCCCAGGTAGCGCCCGTGACGTCACCGACCCAAAGACATGACGTCACACATGTGCCCGGTGACGTGGTTGCGAGGGCGGCGCGGGGGTGGCAAGTCGCCTCCGGGGCGGTGTCTCCCTAATCGCTGACCTCAGGAGGGACTGCGTCGGTCCAGTCCGGTCCCAGAGGCCAGTAGACTGTCCTCTGACCCAGAAGTTACTGTCCCAGAGTTACTGTCTTTAAGCGTTGCACCCGGCGCCAGCCGCCCTTAGTTTGTATTCTGTGGTGTCACTGAGAGAATTTCCCCTCAGGAAGGATCAGGTCAGCGGACCGTTCACGCATGTCCGATGTGTCGCTATAGGACGGTCGGCAGGACGCTGGTTGCGGCTATCTACTGTGTGATTTCAATGCAGCTGCGAGGAGACGGACTAGTAAGTGATTGAACCTGAAAATGACGGACTCCGATATAACAGTGTTTTTTTAATAGTTTATGTTAATCCGATCGATCTAGCTGTCATGGCTATAAGCCAAGGAGATCGTTTTATCGTGCAACCATTCTCTGAGCTGATTTATGAATAAATCATACGCAGATCAATTAGCAATTATATATGTATTACCAAAACAAACGACAAATTTCATACCTATTCTACAGGCATAATGTGTTTCATCGGCAGCACGATGTAGCTATAAAACAAATCAGAAAACGTTAAAATACGATTTGCCCTAGCGACAAAACTGAAAGCCAAACGCAGACGAAATGACACATTTTCGTAAACTTCATCACGACGACTGCACCAGCCAACAAATTTTCACACAAGATTTTTCGAGAGTCTTATTGACAGCATTGGTATAAGGCAGCTCTCAGAGAGACATCAAGATCGGCGAGGACAGCATTGTTGGTGCCAAGGACTAAAGGAACATTTCATGTGTCGACGTCAGGTCTGTCATTAGGCGTCCATCCCGTGGGTGATAATGCAAGTAAGCAAATAACCCGCTTCGTACGTTAAAATTTGGCTAAATCGTCATTTTTGTAACACTCCTTCACCTACACCTATAGTTACAAACGTCAGCTAATGGGAAGTCCAACACTTTACATGGCAGCACCCTTTATCGACCAGCTTAAAAAAATAACAAGGGCCAAAGGATAATGGGGCATTACATTCGCGCATCGTTCTAATATGTTATGTGAACCTAAGACTATTGACCAGCCAGAACCCAGATACCTTATTGGTGAGCGATCGGTACTAAACAAACGCCCAATGTCACCTCAAATACCCCAATGTCGTCAGCGCATCAGCCTCCTATCCTATATGTCATCCTCACTGTGGACCAGCGGGCCGCGCCAGTTCTCCCTGATGTCCAGTTCGTTCCAGAAGGAGAGCCGCTCGCTGAAGGCGGCCTGGCCCAGGCGGGGCTCAATGCTGAGCCACATGTGCTGCTGCCGGTCGGTGGTGTAGGCCGGCCAGCGCGGCATCAGCACCACGTCCGAGCTGGGGTAGCCGTGCCGCGCGAAACTGGTCCACACCGAGACCATGAAGCGGACCACCTTGTGCTCCTGCGAGTCGAGCTCGACAGGAGCGCCGATCGACGGAAGGAATAGGTACATCAGCTCGTCGCCGTGCGCCACGCCCAGGTCCTCACCGGCTGGCCGCGGCAGACCCAGCAGGGAGGTAAATACATCCAGAAGCTTAAGGCGGCCGGGCCCGGTGTGGTCCATGATGTACTTGTAGACGGGCGTGTGAATAGAGGCCAACTCGATCTCTTTGCTAATGCTGACGGCGAAAGTACGGTCAGACAAAAGATCCACCAATCTTTGCTTGTCGATTTCGCCCGAATGATCTTCGCCAAAGTAGAAGCGGTAAATTCTTCCGGCGATTTCGGCTGGATCATCAGTGGCATCGCCCAGCTCAAGAAGTTCGTTTCCCCAGGCCTTCAGATCTGGAGGAGAGGCGAGGAATTTCGGCGGGAGCATACCGACCGTGCCGGCGTTTTCGTCCCGTGTCATTCCATTCATCCAGGGCACTCGGTTGAAGCGCCCATTCTTCAGCGCTACATGCGGATCCTCAGGCAGGAACGGGACCGGAGCTTCGGCGTCCACGCGGGGCAGGTACACGATCACGAAGCTGGGAATGATCGACGGCTTGTCCACCTGTGACAGAGCACTCATGATCTCCGAAGCAGGCTTCTCACGAAGACACTCGACAATGGCTGTCGAGCTGCTCGTGTCGCACCCCAACAGCTCAGCGTGTCGCTTGGCATACTTTCTCTGGGCTGAGCCGCTGGCAGCGAAGTTGCTGAAAGACGCCCCTGACTGGCTGATGGCGCGGGTGAACAGCCCTTCTGCCAGCGGGCTCAGCACGAGCAGACCAATGCTGGCGCCGCCGGCTGACTCGCCAAAGACGGTCACCTCGTCCGCGTCCCCGCCGAACGCCTCGATGTTGTCCTGCACCCAGCGCAGTGCCAGCACCTGGTCGCGTAGGCCGTAGTTGCCCGGCGCCGCCTCGTCTTCTGTGGTGAAGAAGCCGAACGGTCCGAGCCGGTAGTTGAGGGTGACCAGCACCACCTGCTGATCGAGCAGGTACTGCGGGCCGTACAGCGTCTCGTCGCCGTCTCCCGTGATGAACCCTCCGCCGTGGATCCACACCATGACTGGCAGACGGATGTCCTCCCGTTCGGAGGGCAGTCGCGGCGTGTACACGTTGAGGAAGAGACAGTCCTCGCCGCCGGCGGGTTCGCCAGTGAACATGTCCGCCTGGACGCAGCGCTGGCCGAACTGACTGGCGTCCCGCACACCCGACCAGCCGCTGTGCGGCTCCGGAGGCTGGAACCGGAGCTCAGCCAGCGGAGGCTCCGCGTACGGGATGCCTGTAGACGAAACGGTGCAAGGTGATGGATGGCCTGAGCAAGGTCAACTCGCAATCATCGAGAACTGAAAGACGCGTCTCTCATGATATTTTTGGCGTAAAACGTGATATTGATATTTTTGGCGTAAAACGTCATGATTTACCAGTGGGTCTACACACAATGATAATCCAAGTTAAGGACGAATAAAACTGCGCTATTCATATGGGAGTGGCCAAATGGGCATTGAAAACAGTTGACGTGTTTCAATACGAATTCCCGTAGGAATGCGTCAGGCATCTTTACTTCACCTTTGAACGCGAAAAACTCGTTTCCGAGGAGCGATCTGAGCGTCGTTCCTTGAAGAGTGCCGCCTGTCGTCGTCACTACCAGACTCAGGTTTCCTGCGGCTGCTGCTACTGACAGCAGAGCCAGTCCAGTCAGCAGCGCCGCCAGACGGGTGGCAGTCGCCATCTGAAAACCAGCAGGCAGCTGTGTTAGGCACTTCTAGTCATGTAGCGTCGTTCTTTTGGTACCATTTCAAAGCAAGCTTACAAACAACCGGCACATTGTCATGCATCAACAAACTTCATCAGCCTAGATCTGGGTTTCCTGACGTCAGCGTTACGGACAGAATCCAGATTCCAGATTCTGGCTTTAACCGCATATATCCAGTCTGGCGAGCATTGAAGTTCGCCGGCCAGGCAGCCAAATTTTGATGTTTCACAGGACTGGAATAAGCACTATGACGGCACCCATCAAACGTTTGTGTTCAGTATTCACCGTCCACGTATGTCGTTTAAACTTTGTTTTACTTCGTTGAAAACGTAGGCACCCCTACGTAGTGGCGATTTTTGAAATCTGAACCGGTTACCAAAACAACTGACAATTGGGATGATTGCTCACTCGGAAGCGATTCAAACATAAAGAGCCAAGGAGTATCATTCAGCCAATCAATCCAAGGTCAGACACTGACGTGAGAGCCATTCTTCGGCGTGAAGTCACAACTGGGGATATATACTAAGGCTCAATGCAAAACGCAAACACATAAGCCTTTTAGGCGATCAAATGGCGATTTAGCTATTCAATTTCAAGCATCAAGCGGACATTTCACCCGAACAATTAATCTTCTTCAAAATCTAAGGCATGAAATATTATTTGTAAAAATTAAGATAAGTCATGTTCCATACTGGTTCAACGAGCACCACTGCCCTCCTCAAATAAAGAAAAATAAGCACCTGAGTACACCCCATTATCAACACAATACACTTCATTGCATGTAATACCTAATCAAGCCTCTACTCACCGTGTCTCTCTTCAGGCCTGCCGTTGTCCTCAGGCTCTGTCTCTCCCACTCACTGTTGGTACCAGTTACCACCCCTGCGAACACAGCGTGCCAGCACGGACGCCGCAGGACCGCGCCTCTGCCGGCCGCGCCGAGTCTCGCTGAACTCTGGCCCGCCGGCGATGGGCAAACAGATACGGCCTTGGCGATGACTGGCGTATCGCCCCGTCCTATGACTGTCGTGGGCTTGGTGAGACGCCGTCTAATAGTCATCTCCGTGTGGTGTGCGTATTTGGATGTTCAATGGCTGTTGCTAACCGGGAGACGATGGATGTGAGGATGAAACGGTAGAACGCAGAACGTTGAGAGATGTTGACTGAGAAAATAAGAGATGCATAAACGAGACCCATAAGAAATACTGATAAATCATGTCAGGAACTTTGTATTTATTGTA